AAAAAATAAAAAATTTTAGCATACGGCAATGGAGGAAGTGAATGAAGCCAGTCCGTGTTGATAAGGTTTCCAAATTAAATTAAATTTGTCCGACAAAGCAGCAGCTCTCATTTATAGTTGTCTTGTTCAACTCAGTACTTCTCCCCTCTTAGTATGAGTGTTTACAGCGCACTCAATTTCCACTTAGCTTCTTAGCTTAGCCTCCTTCACAGTGGAGCTGGTGTACACATACGTCACGGCTAACAGATCCAATTATTTTAAATTTCAGCAGAGGCCACGCCTCCAGCAAGAGTCGCTTCTCAATAGCTGAGAGTCCAGACCCTCGTACGAAGCGAAGCAAAGGACAAGGGTCTGGTTTTAACCAGGCTAATCTGCTACATAAGTGTGATGCTTTCTCACCAGCGTTAGCTTCTTATATATCTCACCAGCGTTAGCTTCTTATATACAAGACAAGCTGAAACTCTGAACATTTTCCTGCCCCTGTGCTTACAACTCTTGATATTGTTGCCCCCCTGAAGAAATAAGTCCACTCCTTGGTATAACTCATCCTTCTTATTTTCACAGCACAAGTTTAGAAGTTCATTCTTGCTCCAAGGGACCGGGCGATAGTTTGACCAGGACCTCATGTGTTCAGTTAAACTAATCAAAGCTCCATTCATTCCACCCTTAATGACAACTTCTTTCCCACTCAATAAGAAAGAATCTGTTGTGGTTTCAGTAGAAAAGCTGTTTAGGTTTTACCTCCAGAAGCCACAGTCATCACGCAGGGGGGAAAAAAAATTCCAGTGGGGGAAAAAATATATAAATCGCTGAAGAAAAGTTGCAATAAAAGATTCAGACTCTGTTTACTTTGGATGTGTAAAGAAGTCAGATTCACGCAGTAAATTCACCGTGTTGCTTTCCAGACTAACAAGCTGGGATTGTTCTTTCCTCCGTACAACCCCTTCACTAACCCAAGGAAAGAAGAAGAAAATATAATAAAATGTTTATATATATATATATATATAATTCAACAACCTCCAGTAAAGCTGATGTGTTTAGTGACAACTCTGAACAATCATATTCTTAAATTCATAAATGTTTTTATTAGAGGATTTATGAATCGGGAAGAGTTGTGGGGCTTATTTTAAATGCACAAAACAAAACGCATTTTATGTAATTTATGTCCGTTTTCACATCACTTTTAATTGTCACGCTGTTATTTAAAAATTTGATTTTCAGGATTTTTTTAATTGTATTT